CTCTCTCTCTCTCTCTCTCGTCTCATATTCAGACTTTTATTAGACGGTCTCCAGCGTGGGCAATTTTGTCGCGATTTCTTCTTTAACATTGGAAATACCATTATTTCTTATTCACTAAAAGAACCAAGCAGATAAATTACTAAGAAAATTAAGAAAGTCATAAGAAATTGAATTCTTTATCAGTATAAAGGACATAATTATTGGAAAAACTCAGAAAATTTCAGAATCTTATCTTTTACGCAAGTAATATAATCGCATTTAAAATTTATTAAGCACCCCTATAAATATTTCATAATTCTTAGTAAAGACAGATAAATCAATGACTTTTTAAAAGGAAACGGTGTTAAAAAATAATCAAATTTTGATTAAAAAAAAAATCACTAACTTAGAAAACTGCTTACGTAGATCAAAATAAAATACAACAAAGTTTGTTGTATTTGCTGCAAATAAATAGTTTGTTGTATTTATAAATAAAACACAAATACAATAAACTTTGTTAAACAAAGTTTATTAACAATTTTATATTTTAATAAATTATCATTAACTATTGTATGTTCAATAGAAAAAGCAGCTTTGCAACTATTGTGAGATTCTTTAATATGATTGGTTTATATATTTATGCCCAGTGAAGAACCAAAAGCATGACTGATCATATTAAACAATTTTACAATTGCAAATCTGCTTTTTCTGCTAAACGCTAATGTTTGATATTTATTAGGCTTCCCTCTTATTTTATAACTTCTGCAATTCTTTTTGATAAACTCTTTATTAATTTCCTGTAAATGGATTTCATTATTTCTCTCAATTATTCCATAATCACAATTTATAAGTCCTATTCCAAAGTGAATTTTCAATTACGTGAATCTTTTTCTTTAAGTAAACCTATTATATTAATGTTTAATCAGGTTGAGGACAGAACTTTATGGAGGCCAATCTACGACATTGATTTTTTTATAAATTATATCAAACTAATGACATTTACAACCATAATACAATATATCAATAACGCACTAATAAAAAAAAATATACATACATTGATCTTAAATTTTTAACTAATTCCAAAAAATTATTAGAAGAAACAGTAATTCGTCATTTTGTAAAAAACTCTGATTATTAGGGTGTTTAATAATTTTCGACGTGTATAAAATAGTAATTTAAAAAATGAACAATAATAAATTAATCTATAATAAAAATAGTTTCACTGAATAAATCAAATACAATAAAAAAAAATACTAAAGTTTAATAAATAGCTCGTTTCAGAGTTAATTCTAAGTAAATTTTTACCAAATATAAACATATATTTGATATAAAACCCATTAAGTTGATTTAACTGTAGTTTTTATTGAGTAAATATTTATTTACTTCGAGTAAATGTTTACTTAGTATATTCAAATAAATAAGTATTAAAATTTAATAATTTTTGTCAGTGCAAAAAAAAAAAGGCCAATTATGCGAGATCTTAATGCTAACCAGTATTTTTATATAAAAAAATTCTAAATACATCTCTCAGTTATATAAACAGCTAAAAAAATAAAAACGATCAATAACGACCGCTCGGTACTCCTAGTAGCAGAGTTACACACGCGCACACATCGATCAAGAGCGCGAGGAGATGCGACTCATCGGTCTCGCGATAATTATGACGCAATAAAAACATGATAAACCAGTTTTTCCCACCGCGGTCCAGGAGCCGGGAAACTGGAGGGCGAAACGTCCGAGAGCCCCGCGCGCCGCCGATTATTTCGAGTCATTTCCATTGCCATTCGCGATTATTTTCATAAGCTCGCGAGTGCTCGCGCACCCACCCGGCTGGCCGTGAAAAGCGTCGGTGCGGGGGTGTCGGGTCAGGGACACCTACCGTGAAGGGACGCGCCGTTCCGAGAGCATCGTATTGCGTATTCGCGCGCTATGTCGCTGCTGCGCTCCGCGCGCACGTTTTTCTATAGCAACAAGTGTTTGCGCCGTCGCTCATCGACCTAAGCCCCGAAGGATCGCCGGAGAGAGAGATTAAACTACGTCGTAACTTCACCACCCGAATAGTCCCTCTTCCACCCGGACTCCCTGAAAACGGCAGCTCCGTTTCGCACAACTACGCCGTGCTCGGCTTTCAAACGTCGTGGATGTAAACTAACTCGTGCGAGCACCGGTGAGGCCGCGCGAGATCCGCGTACAGGAAATCATCACCGGAACTCGCAAACTCGTCGAGAGCGTTGCGTGTACCATCGATTTGCACGTTCACGCTTGAAAATGGCAATTAATCGCACTCTCAGAAACGCACCGCGTTTAATCGACCGCTATCCTTTACAGAAATTTAATACTGCGAAAAAGAACGTCTGGTTAAAAATGAAGAACAAGTGAGAAGGTTCTAATTATGTCAATCAGAATTCTGCAATGAAAGAAAAGATTGACTGGATATATGGCATAGCATTTTTAATTGGTTCCAGCAGTCAATTAAAAATGCTATGCCATACTTTATCATCTAATTTGCTGTAGCAGCCGATCTTTTTTTTTTTCAGTGTGTGGTTATTTCAATTAGAATTATAATATTTAATCAGAAAAGTCTGATTTATCTATTTTTCAATCAGAATTCCAATTAATGCAACCAGACTCTTTTTCTAGTGTGCAACAAGGATTAATTACTTATTTTGAATATCAAAAGCATTGTTGTTTTAATCCTTCGATCCCAATCTACATCGTTTTGTCACGTATCTACCACATGTGGATATTATAATAATTCTTTTTCATTCGAAAAAGCAAATGTAGGTATTAATAGAAAAGTTACGGCATAATAAAGTAAAAGAAACTTCGGGAATGCCCACACTGGGGATCAATTTTTCATTTCCTGGTTAACATACTTTTGGTTAGACTTATCTTGATAATAATGTAAAAATTGTATTCAGTTGTGGTTTGTATTGTATTTATACATTTTTTTAGCTTATCACTAAACTGATAATTTTGTAGTGACTTTTTAAGTTATATCGCTACAAAATTATCAGATCAATTATACAGCTAGGAAAAAAACACAATTTTTACATTGTCAAGTGACAAGTTAAATTTATCACAAATCAACCAAAAAATGAAAAACTCAGCCTAGGAGGTATTAACCAAAGAGTCAATTCTCCAAATAGATAATTTCCAATATTAAATTGTATTTCCGTATAAAAGAATTCAGCGTATTGTACCGATCTAGCGGGAGAGCCGATCGATTTATCGAACACGCACTTTGCCCCCCCCCCCCCCCCCTCTCTCTCTCTCTCCCTCCCGAGAGAAAGAGAGAAAGAGCGAAAAAGAGAACTCTCGGGGAAAAAAAAAACTTTCGAGCCGGAAGAGCTCGTGCTAAGCAGAGAGAGGTGACAGGTGCGAATTGGACCGACTTCTTCGAGAGGTACACGTTGATATTAACGGTAACCGGCGAGACGCGATTACGGTAGAGTCCGCTGCGAATTGCGGTGCGAGTCCGGATAGCGGCGAAAGAGTCCTCGGTTCACGGGAACTCCCGCGAACAGGAGTGACGGAGAGGTGCGCGAGATCGGCGCGAACTTGCGGGAGACTTGCCACGGCCGTCGTCAGGTTCCTCGGCGGTCACCCGGCGCCAAGCTCGGTAGCTCGTGCTCAACTGGATCACACCGTCCAGGCCGGCGCCTGACGACGGTTCGTCGAGGCTCGGCGACACACGTTGTGTGTATGAAATTTACGGCGCATCGCTTATGTGCGCGCACAACGGGAGGCGCGCGGACGCGAACGCCTCCTCGGGGGCCTCCTAGCCGGCGCCGCCGTCATAAACTGGACATTAATTAAATTCGCCGCGCGAATTATCCCGGGTTTTTAAGTAGCTCCCTCGTGGGAAGGAAAATGGCCAGGGAAAGTATCCTTGAACGTTACTTCCTAGGGACCTAGCGAGTTAGCGAGTCCGCGACGTTCGCATCGTTTTCTCAGTATCTATCGTGGCCAACCATCACGCATGAGATAAGAACATCGATAAGCGGTTAAATATGTGCTTAACGCGTGTATGGAAAGGTAAACGGAAGGAACGAAGGAGGAAGAGGAATCGAGGCTTGTGAGAATAATGGAATGGTCTGATAGAGATGAAATGTTTCTCTTTCTACAAGTGCGAGGAAGAATGAGATAATAATATTGAGATATTTATTCTCCGCTCTCATGCCAATGAGCACCCTTCTCTTCTCTATGCAGAATAATCCTGAGAGATGTTACTCGAGAGGGAATTTTCTTAGAAGCGAAATATGAAATATAGGACTGTATGTATATGCATATAATCGTTTTAGGTATTATACAATTTAATTGCGCGAATTGAATTCTATAATATCTAAAAGTCCCTTGAGAAGGTTCGCATAATGGAGGAAATATTAAGGGATGAATAATAAATATTATATAGAAAAGTTAAAAAATTAGGAATAGAGATTAAACGTATCGCATTGAATACGGCATAATATATATTATATGTCTTATATCTTATTTATAATTTATTATTAAATAACATTAAATGTTAGAAAAATAAAAAAAAAAGTTAATACACAATGCATTTAAAAATGAAACAAATATAATAATTTAATACAAATAAAATAATTTAATTCATAATTTTTTTTTATTTCTAATATTTAACATTTATTTCTATTTCTAGTACTTCTTTCATTGTGCTATAAAACCTAAATAAGCGAGATACTGAGAGAGATGTATAATTGCAGATCCTCCTTTAAACGAGACCCCCCTGCAATCTCGTGTAGATAATTTACCAACCCGCGGTAAACTTATCGAAGTGCTCTGATTTATCATCGGCAGAAAGTGCCCTTATCGACGTTTGTAAATCAGATATCTGTTCGACTACGGTAAGGTAGATTACTAACTGATGCAAATGTTATATAAAATTTATTTATAATACTGTATTGCGATTTTTAGCGTCATATTTGCAAATATTCATATATAATTCGAGTAGCGATGGCGCTTTCCAAACGATAATAATAATATAATTGCAATCAACTTACTCCTCGCGCATCCCTAAAAAGTATGGCAGCGTGAACCGGATCCAGGCAAGCGTCGGATGCTCGATGAGGTATTGCGGGTGCCCCGAGGGATAATCTCCGTGCCGTAGGATCCAATGAACTTCTTCTGTGCGCGCCTGAAACAAAATGGGTTGCATGTAGTCAATGACGTAAAACCAAGAGGAAATTTTGTTATAATAATAATTATAATATAAATATATTATACTCTTTATATTATAATTATATGATATAAATATTTATATATTATTTTTATAATATTATTAATATATTATATTATTTATACATAACTATACGTAATATATCGTACATTAAAATATTATATATTATATATTATAAAATATAATTATAAAATTTGATTGCACGCCCAACCGCACCACAAACTCCTACTGGTCATTAATTTATAAAAAGAAATTTAAGTATTGAAGGAATAATTGATCGCAGATACATTGACATACGTAAAAAAAATAAAGTCATCGATTCACGTTATCCTATTGTGATTTAAACCATTGGCCATCGAAATATAAGTACTTAATTGAAGATTTTATATCAGACTGATCAAATGTATATCTCATAAAATGTTTACTCTTCGATAATCTCACTTTGATACTTCTCGCGGAATGATAAAAGAAACGATCTGTACAGAAAAAAGTATAGGTATATTACTTGTAAGAA